TCTCTGCCTCCTTTACCGTCTTCAGAAGCACACATGCATTGTCAGATTCTCTCCCACTGTCCACAGGGCGGCTGCACACACAGGACTGGAGACAGGAAACACTTCTTTACTCAGAGGATTGTGGGAGGCTGGAACAACCACGCAGGCGTGTTGTTAGAGCTGATAATGCACAAAAGAACTTCAGAGTTTCCACAAAATCGTTGACGTTCTGAAAGAAGAAACAGCTTATCAGATGCTGAGCATGCTCTCACGCCTCACACCTGACTCACGCCTGAAGAAGTCTCAAACCTCATGTTATTTCTTACTACTCTTCCTCGTGGAATTAACTCCTACTTGTTCCCTAATCCCAGGGCATTTCTCGAAAGGAGAAGCGTTGTTAACCCAGTGTCCTGGCCTTTACCAATCATGGCTCCCTAATCATCCCCATCTTTCAACTGGCTTTACCACTCTGTTCTCCCCTCTCGTGAGAGATGATGTGTGGTGAGAGAGAGATGTGTGGTGGAGGGGGTTCCCATTATCCCCATTACCTGTACAGCACTTTGAGTGGAGAGTCAAGAGAAAAGTGTGAGGATTATTATTATGTGCTGGACTGCACTGGATCCTACGGGTGGAGCGGTGGTACTGTGGCTAAGGATCTGTGCCTGTAGCTGGTTTTGCCAGTTCAAATCCCGCGGCTGGCAGAGGAATCCTACTCCCTGGGGCCCTGAGCAAGGCCCTTAACCCCAACTGCTCCAGGGGTGCTGTATAAATGGCTGACCCTGTGCTCTGACTCAAAGCTTGGGGCAAATTGGGGTATATGCAAAGACAAATTCTTAATGCAAGAAATTGTATATGGCCAATAAAGTGATCTTATACTGTATCTTCCAGTTCTGCGAAAGGCTTCTGCAGTACAGCTCCCTCATCTCTTTCACACATCAGATTTCTGGGCAGCACATTGCTGAGTGTCACATTCCCACCAAAACGCAAATTCCTTCCATAACTTAATGAAATTTGACCCTAAAAACCTTTACCAGCCCCTAGCACATAAAAAACACATTCACATGGCCATTTTTATCTAGGATCATCTTTATGTGAATCTTTAAATGAGCTCAGAAGATTATGAATGTGTACACAGAAGGCTCTCTAAAACAGCCTATTAAAGCTGTAGCTGAACTGGGATGATTGAATTGTACAGGTCCTGCTTAAACGCTGACATGATTTTAAATTTTATCTGTATGAGAATGTCAGTGTTACAGGCTGAATTGCCACCAAACAAAAAGAGATGGCATTGTGATGACCCCCGCTCCATATTTCAAGGGTGATCTGTCGTTTCTGTCATTTTGCAGGCCACTGTGAGAACGTGTTTATGTTCTGACATGTAATGTTTCTTCCATTAGGTAGCCAGTACACCTTTAATTAGCACCTTCCTTAAACACGCTTTATTTCTTTGTGGTGATATTTTTGTCTTTCGAGCCTTGTTGGCCTCCCGGGAGTTTCACAGTGCCGTGATTGTATAGTTACTGTTTGTGTGGTTTCCGTCTCAGCCCTGCCTGTCCTGGGGGTGTGATCATACTGTAATACAGCCATAGCTCTGCCCCTCCTGGCCAGCTCATCAGTAGGGAAAGAGGCTCAGTGTCTTTTCACACCATTGTGCATGGCTTCCTCTAGACCTGATAGCTGGTGTCACTTTCCACCACTGATGAAACACTGCCTTCCCAGGCATGGCTATTTTGTCATGATCACACACAGCCATTACAAAACAAACACTACCAAGCCAGACTCCACTGCTGCAGTGATATTGTATTATTGCTGTTAGGTCTTTTATTGTTCTTTTTTTAAGAATGCATTGTTATTGGAATGTGAGGCAGTAAGGTTACAGAGTACAAGGCAGTGTTGCACTGCAGTAACAGTGGGTGGGATAAGATCATTTTGTGGTCAATTTCTTGTAGTAGGAATTTGTCTTTTCCCAAACCCCGACTTGCTCTCCATAAGACACACAGACAGGGAGAGAAGCTGGGGGTCAGAGCGCAGGGTCAGCCATTTATATGGCACCCCCTGGAGCAGCTGGGGTTAAGGGCCTTGCTCAGGGGCCCAATGGAGTAGGATTGCTCTGCCGGCTGAGGGATACGAACCCGTAGCCTTCCAGCCACAGGCACAGAACCTTAGCCACAGAACGACCACACCAGATTCAGTATTTTCAATCAGATACTGCTGATCTCAATGTACATGTCGCCTTTCAAGGAGCCTAAACATACACATTAAAACAATTTCTCTACAACAGAGAACACTTCAGAATGTACAAAAAAGAACAACAAGAAGAAGAAAGAACATTTACAAAAGTTACATGACCTAGGCACACAAATGGTCAAGTTCAAGGTCAAGTTCACGTTTATTTGTCATTCCAGTCACATACAAGAATACAGTGGAATGAAATATCGTTCCTCCTGGTCCACAGTGCAAATACAGGCAGGACAGACAGGATACACATAGTGGAAAGTGCAGATAGTGCAAATTACACAATATACACAACACACTGGGGGGATTTAAACCCTGTTTCTGGAATTGGGGTGGGTGCAAGTAGATTCCGGGGTGTTGAGGAGCCTGACAGCCTGCGGGAAGAAGCTGTTACAGAGCCTGGTTAAACTTGTCTATAGCTCAAGAGTACATGGGTAATGATCGAACAATAACAATGGTACCAGCTCTGAACTCGGCCTAGTCCGTTATCTCATCCCTACCCCTGACATTTAGGAGAAAGCCCATGAAACAAGGTGGCTTTTGCAGAGAAAGGGTCGGAGCATTACAAATGCAAGTAGGAAGGGAATTCCAGAGAGTAGGAGCAATGGAACTAAAAGAATGAGGTCCATTGTTACGATCATTACAATGCAATGCAGTATAGAAGAGCACAGTGCAATATAAGTGCAGAACTTCTTCGGTGTGGCGTGGCACTATAAAACAGTAATGTAGTATTATTTTAGTGGGGTTCAGTGTTATTGAACTGTGATATTATTGGAGTTCAGTATTATTGAACTGGCCTACTGTGATAATTTGAACTATTTGATCTGCTACAATGTTAGTGTTAGTGTTGGTGAACTAAATTAGCTGCTCTGTTTCATCATTAGGCATTAGGCACCATACATACCGAGTCTCTGTCTCTTCCACAGTATATAGTAAAGCCCCTGCATGTACCTCCGGGGTGTCAGAGCTCACAGCGTGGCCTTCATGTCCCTCATGCTGAAGCCCAGGTTTGGCGTGACAAGTTGAACCTGCTCTTCCACATTCCCAGAGGGTACAGTCTACAGAGTTTGTGATGAGCACCCCCCACCCCAGAGCATTTTCCTTCTGTTCTGTTTGGACAGGACAGGGCTGGAGCAGTTAGCGGTTTCTGCCTCACCCTCTGCCTAACAGTGTGCTTTGCCTTTCATGCCCTTTTGTCTTTGAGAAAGAGTAGACTTTTCACTTTGCTCAAGGAAGTCAGAAACCTCCACTGCCCTAATTACAGACCCCAATCTGAGAATCTGCCCCTTACAGTATCAGTACCATACAGACTGGAGCTGAGGAGTCCACTGTTGGTGTGGCTCTGAACTATGTGACTCTGGTAAGGGCATCCCCAAAGCTAACGGACCCTGGCCTCCTGGGCATGAATAGAGCTCACACAGCATGGACAGAAGACAGATTTTATTCTGAAAATGCCAGAAATGTAGAGTACAGCATCTCAGCTATGACTGTGGCTCAGCAGATTATCTGCCTGCCCGCTGCTGGTGCTACACAAGAGCTGAGATGCCAGTTTGTTTGCATCATAGAGCAGGGGTATCTGATCCTGGTCCTACAGGGCTGGTGTGGCTGCATGACTTCCAGGTCTGAAGATCTGGAAGTAATTGGGTTGTTAAGCCAATAACGAGCTGACTGACAGTGCCGGATTTCCCATTAGGCACTTTAGACACAGTGCCTAGGGCCTAAAAAATTTTTAGGGCCACGAAGGAGGGAAACACTAGTGACTAATGAAAAATGAGCTGAAACAACATGCTTGCGATCGGCTCTAGGTGCTCCAAATCAATAATCATGCGCTATTTAGCGGCTGTTCTAGAAACGAGAAGTATCGAAGTGATGGTTGCTCAACTCGCTCCATCAATCACAAGGTTTAGCATGAGAATAGATAGATAGATAATACTTTATTAATCCCGTAGGGAAATTGATAGTATAAATCAATTAGTTAAAATAGTTTAAAGTGCATCATGTCAATCGACGTAATTCAACTGGGGTTTACCCCTCTCTTTGCACAGTTTGGAGTGCAATAACCTAGGGCCTACGAACATCAAAATCCGTCCCTGCTGACTGACTTGGAATGAAAACCGCAGGCACACTGGCCCTCCAGGACTAGGACTGTCCTCCCCTGGCAGAACCCTTTGTTATTTGGACTCTTTACTCTTCCAGAGGTCTCAAACAGTTCCTGGAAGGCCAAGTGTCTTCTAGTTTGTGTTCCAACCATGTTCTCACATAGCTGGTCTGATTATTTAAGTAACTGTATACTTGTAATATCTCTAACCAGGCTCTGAGGCGATTTATAGGAAACTGTAACTGAAAGTGAAAGTCTTGTTTATTCCACTCTAAAAGGCCTCAAGAAACATCCTGTTACATCCTGAAACTGTTACATGTCTGATTCAGAAAATAATTGGGTCAATTACTTAATTGACTTCCCAGGTTGGAACAGAAACCAGAAGACACCAGGCCCTCTGAAAATGAGTGTGAGACACCTTTGCTCTTCTAAACACGTTTTCACTTAGACTTCCATACTGGGATCTCAGATGGTTTGGTGGTATTGAAATGGAATTTCCTGTTTGCATTCAGGGTCTATTTCTAAGTGAATACTGGAAGATTCGATGCAACGCTGTTTCTGAGGCACAAAAACAATTTCTTCTTCTGAAATGCGGTTAAACCTCCTAAAAGCACTTCTGCACATTTATACTTAACTCTTTAGCGAAGGCTGAAGCTACAGTGCAGACGCTCACGTGTCGCTGCTGGGGGTAGGTGACGTCAAAGCCCAGCGATTTCTGCTAGTGACGGAGAGCGCCGGAAAGAGGAACTTGGAGAGTTTGTTTAAGTGTTTGTGTCGTTTTGCAGTAATATAGAAAGATGGTGAGAAAGTTGAAGTTTCACGAGCAAAAGCTCTTGAAGAAAGTCGATTTTATCAACTGGGAAGTGGACAACAACTTACACGAGGTGAAGGTGTTGCGTAGATTCCACATCGAGAGGAGAGAAGACTATACCGTGTAAGGTTTCTCTGCTGATTCAAACTAAACACGCTGGGCTGTGCGCTTTACTGCACACGGGAACAGACATAAATTGCGCAAGCTCTTTGTTGCTTCTGCGGTTTCGAGAAATAGGAAAATATCTGCCCTTTTTTTACAAACAGATAACTTGTAGCATAAGTTGTTCTGTACGCATGTTTTTTGAAAGGGTATTACTTGCTAACGGAACCCTTTATGCGTGTTTGTTGTGAGACCCATGCTTAAGAGGCTCGTAGAAACGCTGAAACTACTGAAGCTTCACGTGAAATACGCTTTAAATTGTAAGTCTCATGCTCAGACGTGGGCGCCGCCATGACACTTTTCTCTTGCCGCGGGGTGCTACATCGGTTGTCTTTTTCTTCGTCACGCAAGCACTTTTACTTTTAATCAAGTTTAGAACCAACTAAAGTAGATGAAAGTGAAGTTGACAGTGGCATTGCCGTTTGCGTTTAGGATTCGTAGCCTTTTCTCCTGCTGTTTGTGTCGATGGGTTGGGGGACTTCGAATCCCAGCATGCTCCGCGGTCTGTTGCGCTGCAGGCTGCCTATATCCGAGCGCGTGCGTGGTTTTCCTCACTGCGGTGCGTATCATGGATCAGTACTTCTACTGCAAAACCAGAAAAAGCTCTGAAATAATATACCTCCTTAACCGAAACTGCCTGGGGTTTACGGCTGGAATTGTCAATGTTTCACTTCTTCATTCCTGTTAAAAAGAGTTAAATTGGGCTTCCTTGCCTTTCAATCGCATCAGGTCTGATTTTAACTCCTTGGAACAGCTGCACCAGAACCGCACACGGACTCTGGACAGCAGTGTGTAAAGGAACGGAGGGCTGTAGTTTTAAATCCCAAGCTGCTGTTATACCCTTGAGTCGGGTACCTCACTCAGAATACTGCCTGGGTCTCTCCAGGCCATCGCTATAAATGAGAAGCTTTTCTCATTAGAGCCATCTGCTTAAATAAAGCATTAAACAAACCGCTCCTGTGATCGCTCATAATCTCCATGCTGTTATACTTCATTTCTCTGTGCCCCCCTTCACTATCCACCTCTCTCGCTGTCATTATTTTCCTGCCGGTATCAAATCAAAGTTTATTTATCAAATGCTCAACAATATAGCGTGCAGCAGTAGTTGCTGGTAATGAAATGTCTTTTCTGCGAGCTCACAGGAATCACAAGAATCACAAAAAGCTCAAAATTGAGGTTATGAAAATAAGGTTACATAATAATAGATGTAATAGAAATTGAATAACTCTATATGAGTTGAGCTGCTATGTGTCCATGGTGTATGCAATATATACATGTAGTGCAGTTATGCTGAATACAGTGAAAACTGTGTGTCCATGTAGCCATTACAGGTGATTTGCTAAAGGATCTGCAGGTTGGCTGTTTAGCAGTCTTAAACGGTACCCCTGTTCTTCTCTCCTGTTTGCTGTTGGTCCTCCCTGTTCACCCCTTCTCCCCCCTCTCTGCCCGCCTCTCCCGACAGGTACAACAAGCTCAGCCGTGAGATCCGGCAGCTGGCCCAGAAGATCCGGGACCTGAACGAGAAGGACGGCTTCCGCGCACAGAACACCGCGCGGCTGCTGGAGAAGCTGTGAGTCGTGGGGCAGGGCTGTGTGCGCGTGTCAGACACGGAGGGAGGGAGAGGCGTTCGGCAGCGTGGGCTGACCCGGTCGGCCAGGCAGTCGGTCCATCGGTACAGTGTCGGGAAAGGAATGGACAGGAACAAAGTCATGGATTTATCTCATAAAGATGCCAACTGTGGTTTACAGAAATGCATTGTGGGATGCTCAGAGGGTTAAAACCACTGTTTCTCATATAGTGTGACCTGTGTGATATTACAGGATTTTCAAGACCTTTAATACAGCTGAAGGGCTGATATGCCCATTTTTACATTAATAAAGCAGGTCCAGCTTCTTATGAAATCCATTCTATTTCAAAACTTCAGCATTTGTCTGAGCTTCTAGCGATGATTAGTGATTTAGTTTTCATAGGCAAAAGACTTTGTGCCACTCATTCATTCACACTGTTTAAATTAGAAACTGTGCTGTTTTTTGGGGAATGCACATCCACAAAACACCGTTCAGTTTCACAAATTAAATGGAAATGAGTTTCATAAGTGCAGCATCCTTATATATTGTGGTATCTCAATTTCTCTCCTCTAGCTACAGTACAAAAGTATGTAGTAATCTTGAAAAACGTCTGTCTTTTTTGGATTGTGTTCAAGCTTTGTTCTTAATCACAGGCTTCATTATTTCAACTTTCTTTTTGAGGCTTTTTTTAAAATTTCTTGTAGAACTTAAAACATTTAATAGGTGTCAAGCCTGTGCTAATCAGTCCAGGACTGCCCTCATTCAGGTGTGTAAGGTGAATTATATGAAATATAGCCAATTGGGCTGAAGTAAAAGGAAGATCACAGACTCACTGTGGGAGGTGTCTGATACAGGGCCATTCTCTCCTGTCTCTGTTCATCGCTTTGATCACTTACTAATAGTCGTTTAGTCAGAAATAGGGGAGCAAGTGAGTCTGCGAGCCGAGGAGAGACTCGATTAAATTCTGTGGGCTGATGTTTTTGGAAATAATGTGCTTTAACTGAGGCCTCTCTGAAACCAAGAGGCGAGTGCTGAAACAAGCAGATCAGTTACAGGCAGCAGTTAGCTCTGCTGATTAAGGGCCCAGTTGGAATGAAAACCAGCAGACTCAGGGGTACTTCTGAGAGCCCCTGCTCTGAGCCCTCCGCAGTATGCACTTCTGCTGGCGTCTTTCCTCGTGCTTCTTCAGTGAAGCCCTGCTGCTCTCCAAACACGTTTTAATGTGCACAGTGGTGATTTTAAAGCAGTGGTGCTGGTCACGGCCTCCCTCCACTCACAGTGGCCAAGCCAGTGCAGGTGTGATGATTCACAACTACCCAGGTAGGGATCTACATGCTATAATATTCTCTCTCCTGCATATTTGACACTTTCTGTCAGTTTGTCATTGTATGATACAATGTGCAGAGAGTGGGAGGTATTGAGTGATATGAATGAACTGCGGACTTTGTGCACTTAGTAAGAAGTTAATACCATTGCAACTACATTTACTTTTTAGAATTGGCAAGAATTGCTGCTTTGGCATTACAGAGCCTGTGTTGCCAGTCGCTCATTGCAGCAGTGCGGACACAATGTTGCAAACATGGGGAGATGTCTGTGATTTTTTTTTTGCATTGCTCAGTTTGGAGGGCGCTCTGCGGGAAGTTAACTTTCTCTCCTAACGGTATTGGGCCGACAGAGGGCTGGGTATTAATACAGGTGTAAAATCTAGTGGCACTTGCAACAATGTGGAGTTAAAAGCAGTAAAGGAAGTTAAAGTAAAGGAAGATTCTGTGATTGTTGTCTGTGTAAACATTGAAGCTACCTTCCTGCCTCATTATCTCCCTGAAGTCCAGGGTGAACGGGCTGGACTCACCACACTGAGGAGAGCTGCATTGAGAGTGAGTGTAGACCTGCCTGCCTGAGTGCCTTCAGAGGGAATAGTATTGTTTACCTGCTGATAACAGCGGTGTAGATTAACACGTTCCAGAGGTGGAGGGGGGTGTGGGAGATAAGCCGTTGGTTCTCACCAACCTGCTTTACCGCAGTAAGATAGATAAATGCAGCTAGCAGCTGCTGGATTTACAATCGCAGGTTAACAGTGGGAACTGGGACGGGAGTTGTCAGTTCTGCGATAATGCTGTGATTTACAGATGTGATTTTTTTTTGGGGGGGGGAGAGAGAGCACATTGTCTATTCTTTCTCACCATTGACTGAGACTCTCTCAGCCAGAGCCAAAGTGCAGCCTCAGGTGGCCACTCCAGGGGAGTGATTATGGAGAGGGTGATTGCAATGTTGTAAAGCCATCAGTGTTCTGGTGAGAAACTACTAATGTACCAAAATAAAAGGAAGATCCTAATCTTGGAGAGCAAACCAGGAAATGGGAATGATCTGTACACAGCCCTTAAAATCCAGTGAGACGCTGGTCGAGTGGATCCTCAACCGGGGCCTCTAGGGGGTGATGCTGTTGTGATGGACGGCCACTCTGGTCACTGTGTCTCCCGCTCGAGGTGTCCTGTGCTCCTCTTCAGGGCTGCGCAGAGCTGCGAGCTCCTGGGCTGGCTGGCCGGCCGACCATGTCAGTGTAGTCTCTTTGCTCTGCTGATCAAAAGCTCTCTGCAGAACCACTGGCAGAAGCCTGAATTCACGCGTGAACTGGAGCGTTTTAATGGCTTTCCCTCTCGCTTTCGCTGCTTGTTTTTGTGCTGCCTCTGTGCTTTGACCCTTCGAAGTAGGGTGGTATCGCCGGCTATTGGCAAAGCCTCTGGGATTGTGGGACAATGCAGTGGAGCTGTGGATTGCAAGACCTGAGCTCTGTGGTGTTAATGGTAGACGGTCTCGCCGCAGGGCCCTTACAGCAGCTCTTCCTTGGGCTGGGCTTTGTGTTCTCAGCGCGGGGAGGCTGAAACACGGGCCGAGATGGACAGCTGGTTTTCCATTTGCTCTGGGAGAAGGACGGAAGGATGGAGCGTTTTTCAGATAGGCAGACGCAGACCCTTGCCTTACCAGCCTGTTTGCGGCTCATTGCGTATCATATGGCCCTTTAAGGAGAAACGGGATAGGGGTCTTCTTTTCCACAGGAAGTGGGTATATATTTAGGGCAGATGTTCCTGCATTGCTGACCTATTAACACTTCCTATTGCCATTAAATCGGGCTCATGCACGTGGCACAGCAGAGCTTGAGCAGGGTCAGCTCCAGTACAGGGGGTGTGGGATGTGTGGTGTGCAGGGGAGTTGTGTGTCCACACTCTCTTTGCATGGCTCATCCTGGGAGCAGTTTCTCCATCTCATTCCTCATCTAAAGGTCAGGCCTTTTCCTGGAGGGTCCTCATCTACTGAGTTTCTAAAGGTTGGCCACACCTGTAAATTATTGAGGACTTAAGTGTGTAATCTGTTTGAGTATCCAGAAGGTTAAACACTACTTATATTTTGTCCCCAAGTGATCTGAGAATTAGCAATTGACATGCTTAACTAATACTATCTTTAGAAATTGATTTAATGGTAACCTGTAAGGAGAGAACCTGACAACTCTGATGCTCTGTCCTGGACATGTTGATACTGTAGAAGAAGCCTAGTGTTCTTACTTTGTTTAAAAAGAGAACACATTCTTCTAGAAACCAGGAGACAGTTACTGATTTCATGAAGTCATTAAGAGTGCAGCCAAACTCCAGGGCAGTGTGCTGTGCACCATACACACCAGCTCTGTGGTTGCTGTGTGAGCTCAGGCCCCCTCAATATTTATGATCCTATTAATGTTAAAGCAGGGTGAATGTGTTTTTGCTTTGCTCTTGTGTGGGAGATTACCATAGGATTGTGCTTTCATAGTGCTAAATAACTCATGTCTTGGACTCCACTGTCCGCTTATCTGACTGTTACAATTCAGTTGATTGGCCATTTAACTACCAGTGTTAATGACATCATAATCATAAGTAACTGGCATTTGATCTGACAGTGTCATCCGCTGTCAGCAGACATGAGCAGTACGTTTTGGAAATAGCTTCATAATTCTAAAAACCAGCCTTATAAAAAAATACCGACAAACCCTAATATTTGCACTTAATTTGACTTTTGGTTTTGAAACCTGAACAGTCTGACCATCACCACAAAGCTTTTAGGAACTTAACAAATACGCAAAATGTGTGGGTAATTACCAAGTTCTGCTAAGAAAAACAGTGCATTGGGGTGCTCCCATCTTCGTGGAGGTATGTTTTACAGGATGTGGAGAGCACTAACTTCTTTGGCATTGGCAGGAGCGCAATGAGAAGGAATGTTCCCAGGAGGAAGTATGAAACCTTCATTGATGATAAGAAGTTCTTTATGGTTTTATACCATTAATGAAGGTAGTGGAAATGGAAGAGGGGCAGAGAAACACTTTGTTAGTGAATTACAGTAAAGACAAGTGCCACCAGTCATTTTTAATGCGTACTGTAGTTATTGACATTTGTCAGATTGTTCCTTAGTGGTCCAGAACCTTCATGTGCTTGTATCCCAGTCTGTATTTTACAACAGCAACAGTAGTCCTTTGAGTCCAGAGTTGCCTTCCTGTTTCTTGTTCTGTCTATGTGGTGGAAGGACAGAGTACAGAATATAAGTTAGTTAGAACTCTTGGGAGTGATGATGTCGACTCCCTTTCACCACCACCCATATGCATCATCTGGATGATGTGATGGCAGCTAAAGTATGCCAGTACTCTTGCCACACATCAGCTATCAGTGGGGAGGACAGCAAAGTGATGAAGCCAGTTCATAGCCGGGGATTATTAGGAGGCCATGGTTGGTGAAGACTGGGGTTTAACTTGACCAGGACACCAGGATAACACCCCTAATCTTTTTGATGTTTGACATCCTGGGGTTTTAATGACCACACAGAGTCAAGGAGCTTGGTTTTACGTCTCATCCGAAGAACAGCACCTTTTTACAGGATAGTGTCCCCGTAACTACAGTGGGGCATTAGGGCCCACACAAACTACAGGGTGAGCGCCCCCTAAAGGCCCTGCTAACACCTCTTCCAGCAGCAACCTAGCTTTCCCAGGAGGTCTCCCATCCAGATACTGGAGCAGATTACTGTCTTGATTGATCAAAATCTTACTGGTGTGGACAATCTGTAAAAACAGGTGATCTGTAAGACTACCTGGCCTAAGACCCTCCAGGACCGTGTGATATTGATAGTTCTGTGCTGCTGCAATGTGATATTGATAGTTCCTGCCCAGGTAGTGAGGGAGAAGGCCGAGCTGGGGGTCTGAGAGTGAGCAGTGCATGCTGGGCCATACCTGGAGCCTGGGGCAGGGCCCTGCAGGCAAAGGGTACAGGGGCCTACAGAGGCTGGTTGCTGAGCAAGAAACAGGAATGGAAAACAAGCAGTTGAAAATGACAAAATGGGAGGTAATACCTAATGGATGATGACAAAAATAACACTAATCCAAGCTAGTCCTGAATAACTCGGTATTGAGTAAACAAAACAAAAGCAAATAATCAAGAATGTGTAATCCAGAATGAATGATAAAGTAACCGCTCATCTGACACACTACTCAGGATCCTGGTACAATACCAAAAAAAAAGCGTAAACCAGTAACTGTGTTAACAAGCAGTGACCTGAACCCGGGCCCGACACCGAGATCCAGCCGACCGAGCCTCGGGGCTGGTGCTGTGTGCTCGTCGGGCTCTGCTCGGGCTTGGGGAAGTCGGGGAGGCGTGGGGTTTTGAGCCCTCCTGGAAGGGGTAGGGTTACCAGGGGTTTGGCAGGTCCAGGTTGGGGTGGAATGTGCTGTCCTGAGCTGGTGAAGGGATGGAGTGTGGCCACAGCAGGGCTATTTATACAGCCCTGTGGGAATCGTATACAGCCTTGACCCACTCTGGCGTTGCAGTGAATCGCTGGCACCCAGCCTGCTGGCCAGTGTGGCACACCCCCAGCTCTCCCACAGACACGCCACAGACCTCATTCTCCGGCACGTAGCATCTGCTGCGCCCCATACGGTTCAGATGGAAGTTCCTAGAAATTGCCACTTCTGTCCGAAACAGCTGCCTGGAGCCCCGAGAGGCTTAACCCCCAAAGTCTACTTTAATTCAGCAGTTTGTCCGTTTGAGTTCTGGCATACAGATGCTTAAAGGTATTGTGAGTGTGCATCGCCGGGGCTGATGTGAAAGTGTACAGCCCTTTGTCCCTCAGGCCTGCAATGCCATGTGGCTTCGTGCAGCAGTGGATACCAGTAACTGTCCCCCTCCCCGGCTACTTTGCCCCAGAGGGGTATCTAGTCTTGAGTTGCTGGCGGCGTGCCAGGGAGATGGTATCACCTTGTGTGTGACCGCTCTGGGTGTGCTCCCTGGCGCCCAGACACTGGGCTCTTTGTTTGGTTTGAGAGAGGGGGGAAGTGGGTGACCCCATCCTTCTCCAGCCCAGGACCTGACCCCATCCCCCCTTCCATCCGGGCGCACAATGGCACTCTGTGCTCCCCTCCCCGAGAGCGGGGCAGAGGGAAGGCTGTAATGTGAGATGGGGAGAGGAAGGTGGTGATACCCGCTTGTGCTGCTGTGAGGCAGATACTGTCCCGTAACCTCCCTCCCGCTGATGCTAGCCTGTGATCCTGTTCAGGTGTGTGACTAGAAACTGCCTTCTCTCATTGTGCCTGGACTGCTGTCCTGGTCTGAGCTGGTCTCTTTCCTGAGCCCCTGTCCGGCTTTAAACCTGACATCCTCCACTTCCGCTCTGAAGTGTGTCTGATAATCGTCTCAGTGTGGAATAAACACTATCGTGGCCTGGTGAGGTGCACCCGGTTCTCTGCCGGTGTCGGTGTTTAAAGATAATCCTGGTGGGGTAACCATGTAACCTCAGTGGAATGACCGCCATATTGTCTGGTGGAGGTTGTGTGTTTGTGTTTGTATCCATGTGTACCGGCGTGGCAGCGTGTGACGGTGAGGTTACGGTGTTCCCACAGTGCGCCGTGCAGCCGGAGGGAAACATGAGCCCCGCTGGCTTGTTGCCAGGGAAACCCACACCACAGTGCGTTGCCCATGCCGGATGGCAGAGGTTAATTGTGTCATAAATTCTCGACCTGCTAGAGGCCGGGCATGCGGGATATTCACACCTTGCAGCGTGATACCCAGTCAGCAGCACAGCGAGATATACATAGATATGAGGATACACAGCCTTCTGGCTAAATACGTCTCCCATCTCTTTCTGATATGTGTGCCTGCGTTTGTATACACACACAGCCTACTGGGGATGCACAACCTCTGAGGCACTCAGGGCAGATAGTGGTGCAAATGCAAATTGAGCAGTCCTAGTGCCTTCGAACATACAAAGTCAGAAGCCCTTACAAACGCCCAGAAAAGCGTTTCTCATATTGGTTCACATAGTTCTGCCCATGGATGTGCACATGCTCTCGCGCCCTCCCACTGGAAGGGATTCTGTGGGAATGAGTGGGAGTTTCAAGGACCCCGGGCTTGGGGGCCTCACACTCAGACACAAGGACACTGGAGACCCGGAGCAGAGCCTGACGACCAGTTCTGAGTTTTGGGGAAAGGCAGTTCCCATGTACCTATGTTTACACTTCTGGGGCTATAATTCATGCCGGTTTCAGCAGCTTCCTCTTACTGGAGGTTTTTTACTGAGTGTTTTTACTGCACTCCATCTGCTCGCTCTCTCAGGCTGTCAGCTGGACTGCTCTGCAGGCTGTTGCTCTTCCTGGCTGAGGTGGGGGAGAGAGGAACCCTGAGCTGGGCTGGGCTGGGCTGGGCTGGGCCGGGCCGGGCCGGGCCGGGCCAAGTCCCTCACTGTCTGGCTCATCTTCACGCTGGGTTTTGCGACAAGCCCAGCCGGAATCAAGCTGCCCAGTACTGGCCTGGGCCGAGCAGGGCCAGGGATGGGGGTAGAATCATCTGTGGGCTGTAGAAAACTTGGAAGGAGGAGCTGGATTCTGGTTCTTTTCTCGAGCTGATGAAAGCAGGACGTGGGGTTGTTTTAAGTGGAAATCGGAAAACAGGTAGAAGATGACGTAATTTTTTTTGTGTTTTTTATCTTTAAACTGACATCAAAAACTGCTTAATTGAACAGGAAGAACACCTGGGGGTAATTATTTACTGCAGGTGTTCGAAGAAGACCTGTTGATCTATGTGGCCCAGACACTCCTGGTAATCGGCTCTTACAAGTGCAAGATGGTGGGAAATTTAATTTGCTTGCGTTGAGATTGAACTCTTTCTGCTGTTTGCCCTAACTTTTTTTTTCCTGTTTCAGTTAAGTTATGCTGTGCTAGTAATTCTTCTCCCTCACTTTCATTTCAGTTATTGTGTGACAACCTGTGATGTGACAGTAGCTTTCTCTCCCTCTCTGTCCTCAGGTACAGCTTGGGTCTGATCCACACCAAGCAGAGCCTCGCAGTCACTGAGAAAGTCACGGCATCTTCCTTCTGCAGGTAACCTCCTCCTCGGTCACTCACGGTGTGCAAAGACATGCTTCCAGACGCACCCAAGCCCTACAACACACACACACACACACACACACACACACACGTCATACACACACACGTCATACACTGTACCCATTGACATTGCCCGTGCTCATAAACAGCACACTTGAATTGCCCACATCAGTGCAACACAATCGTACAAATGCAGCACACTCAAGTAGTACACGCACAGCCTGAGTTGTGAGTGAGTTGACATAGCACTTACTTATACATCCTTATACAATACAATGTGTATTCAAGCCTTACAAATGAGCTTAAACGTTTTTTTCCCCAAGTTAAGTCGCATCCCGTTAAACTATAGTTACTGCTTGGTCAGCAATCTCATGTTTTAATTAGGAAATGGAGTATTTACTGCTGCTGATATTCATCTGTGGAAATGTTGTGCAACGTGTAGCAAAAAATAACTGAAGCACAAAACCACACTGCAGACTGATTCCAGGGTTACAGGAGGAATGAAACACGAGTCAAACCGGTTTCGGGATGAGCGATCAGTGTCGGTGAAACTTCAGTACTCTTGTAAAATCGTCAGAGGGAAACAGCCTTGTTTTGTAATTTATGGATTTTTGTGGCTTTTAGGATCAAAAGAAGCTGGTTTACAATATGCTTAAAGGCATGAACATCCCAAATTTAAAACCCTACGTATATGGCATTGTGTAATGGTGGGTTGCTTTGTGTGCCAGTCCGTTGCGCCTGCCCGCTGTTGTGTTGTTAGTGTGGTTTAAACTCTGCAGAGGTTAGACAGCAGCAGTGTGGAGAGCCGGTTAGGCCCACACTGGGAGTGTCTGAGCTCCCCCTGGCCACAGGCTGGGGAACTGCACTCAGGTTGGTGTTCATTTCCCAGTCTTTGTCTAATTACAACTCCAGAGTTTTACTTTTCACAAGGTAATAAAAACATTTGAAAAAAAACTGTACAAGTGTGGGGCACCATAAACGATTCCCTTAGTGGCCGTATGTTCCGGAGCAGATGTTTTAAATAGAACTGGAGATATTTTAAAATAGAGGATGGATAATAAGTTTAACAGTTGCTTCCGAGATGACCTCTGTAACTGCTCTGTGTTTTTGCCCCTGATCCCCTTGGTGTGAGGCCTGGGAATTCCAGCCGCATGAGGTGAATGGTAAAGAAGGCATCGCAAGACTTTATGAGCGCCCTGTGTGTTGAAAGTATAGCACTGCAGAGGCCTTATGCTTCTTGGCCAAAATGTCAGGAACCCCCCTTCAGTAATATTGGGCTCTGTGAACAGAAGGCTTTGGCATGTTCCACAGGAGTTGAGAAATAGTTGCAGTCCAGTCGTATTCTTGTCACCCCTGCTTTCAGTAGGCTTGAGTCTGCAGGGAGTCTGACTGCTGCTACTGAGAGATGCTTTTTTTTGCCTGGGTTCCTTTGGGATTCTGTGCAAGCGCAGCCCTACTGGATTTGGTGTTCTAACTGAGTTTTTCTCTCTTACCTTTCCTCCCTTTCACCCCTGAACTCTTTCCCATATTCCTCTCTGTCTGCGCTGGTCCCTGCAGGAGGCGGCTGCCCAGTATCCTCGTCAAGCTGAGAATGGCGCAGAACCTGAAGACGGCCATCACTTTCATCGAGCAGGGGCGTATCCTTAACTGTGGTCATGGACGACGGCGAATGCTTAGCTATCACCTGTGCTGGTGCTGTAATATCCTACTACTAGTGCCACTCTGTCTTCTGATCACTCTGCTGTGAATGCACAGTGCCCAGGTCAGCTGGCAGTAAGGGCTTGTGTTGCCTCAGCAGTGTGTTTTCCGTGATCAGAAAGCACGGGGTAGAGGAGGAAGACGCTAGGAAGATGGTAGCACCGCCTGCTCCATCTCGGTGCTCCCATGAAACTTCTGCCCCCCCCGAACATCCTGGCAATGGTGCTTTGAACCAACAACCAAGGCCTTACCCGCAGGCTTGTGGATTTCAGTTTTCTGTCTGGTGCACGTTCGTAAATTTGCTTGATCTGCTTGCTTGCTTGCTTGTTTAGACTTGGTTCATTGGCGAGTCCAGATTGTCAGACATGCTTGAATGCTTGAACATACTTGAATTCAAGAGTCCATTTCACAGACCTGTATGCCGGCTCTCTTCCACTTGCTTGTCATGATTTCTGACTGGTCGCTCAGCTGACAATGTAATGTATGACCCTGTACGAGACACGTGGAAAGGAAAGAGAAGATGTTGGGTACTGTTGCTTGGGTTGACTGGATAGGAAAAACCGCCCTGCTGTGTTATCTGGAGCTCTGCACTCTTCTGTCTCTCCAGGCCAAGCCCGCGTCAGCTGGTGCTGTAAAGTCCGCCTGATTCCTGATCGGGGAAAATATTTTAATCCAATCAGCGTTGTTTTCACATGACTGTCACGCAGGGCCCGGTTGCCATGGTTATGGTCAGTGGAGCTGCGTGGGGGGCTCTTTCTTTCACTTTGTCTTCTCTCTGACTCTCAAATTCAGAAGGAGCTTTACTGGCATTACAATGACTGCCAAAAGCACTTACAGTAAGAGGGTGGTGCATTGGCCAGCACAGTTAAACATTCACTCGGGACCTTCTAGAGAATGGTTTAACAGAAGTGAACATTTCTTGTTTACTTTTTGAATTTTGTCTAGCGCTAAAAATTAAATTTACACCGTAGAAGGTAGTGCAAATCTACTCATGTCTTAGTTTGTCTTTCTCATATAGCTTATCTCTGTCTGCCTCCCTCCTTCCATCCCAATCTCATCTTTGAGATTTCTTTCTCTGGTTTGGTTTCTCACTCTCTCTCACAAACTTTCTCTTTGTGTCTCTCTCACGGTCACGAAACAACTCACTGTTTCACCGATGGATCTCAGAGCAGCTGCGTTAACTCATCCTCCTTCCTGAGGTGCCCCACTTCCTCTCTTTCCTCCCTGCCTCTCTGTCAGTGATATTTATAGAGATAATAAAAACAATCTTCACGTTAGAAATAGATCTGTTGGTGATCACATCAGTGCTCCTCTCACACTTAAAGTACATTAAGAGCCCAAGAGAAGTTACAAATGAGAGGCTGTTTGGCTATCTATCCCGTTGTGTAGTTAGTAACTTTTGTTTTAAGAAAGCAGCTGTTTCTTGAAGAAGAGTCACAGTTTTGGCTTCAACAACATGGCGGGTAGCTTGTTTCACACTCCCACGACCCTTTGGGTGAAGAAATGGCTCCAGTTCTTGGTTTTTTTTGTTAATGAACTTCCTTTTAGTTTCCATTTGTCCTCTGGTGCACTGTTGATTGTGAATAGGTCTGCTACGATGACTTTCTCAGTACCTGTGAGGATGTTGAATATAGAAGGGTCTTGACATTTGCAAGGAATCGGTACCAAGAACCGTCACCAATAGCCTAATTCGTATAAAATCAAGTCCACCCCTATAATGTTGTATAATATACAGTGTATATAATATGTAAGGTTAAAAGGCATAAGTAACCCTACCTTATATGATGCATAAACTACTAATGCATTGGCTTTAGGTTAATTTAAATTTGTAATAAAAAAACCCTGTGGACACAGAACCGGAAGTGTTCATTACAATATAAAAACAAGACCAAGCTGAGGTGCAGATGCTGGGTAGTGGGTACTTGGGCAGGGGGAGAGGAGTGGTAACTGCTCTGAGCTAGTTTCGTCTCGTGGTTATAGTCTGTTGCGCTTAACAACGTTTAGCCACGTTTCGTCCCACTCTGCTCTTCTTCTGTGCAAGTCAGGCCAGACCAAATCCCGATTGAGTGAATTTGTAAGTGTTTAAATTTACAGATGTTGAGACTCCTTGGACTCTTCTTTGTGTGGAACTAAAGAGATTTAGTTCCTTCAGCCTCGGTGGAGGACATTTCTTTAAACCTGCGGTTGTATTTTAAAATGAACCTTGTCTTCAAAAGCATCTTGCAATGCTTGAACAAAGTAGTATAGGGTTTAAAAAAACCCCACAAGTACAAAAACCACCTACAACTACTTAAACATGCCCCATGTAAATACTGTGCACTGTTTACAGGAAGCTTCACTTTTCACTTTTGTGTTAACGTAGCTGATTTGTGTAAAACTCCTTGAAAATTTGACGCATTTATGCTGTTTCCATTTCAAGATGGGTAAGGGAAAAAATGTGTGAAATGCTACATTAATCAAAAATGTTTCCAGTTTGGTTGTGCTTGACTGCTGTTTATAATTCTGTCTTGCTCACTGAGATGTGTTTGTGAAGTATGAGTATCACTGTTCTAAAACAAGGATTAGAAATCAGTGATGGCAAAATAGTTTTTTAACATTGTAAAACAAAACCTTTTCTGTACGATATGTAATGAAAATGCTTTTCAGTAAGCGATAAGTAAAATCAGCAGGTGTTCTGAACTCTGTCTAATACAGAGTGGTGCAGGCTATCTCCCAGTCCCTATCCCTACAATAATCCATTGTTTCTACTGGGAAAATTTCCCAGCATTGAGTTGCATTCTTACTGTTCCCCCCCCTTATCCCTGTTTTTATGGGTATTCCCCACTGTAAGTGGTTTCACTATGTGTTGTGCTTTTGTGGTCCCTTACTCCAGGATGGTGCACAACGGAAAAGGGGAGCAGGCTCATCTCCGGAATTGGGAAGGAAAAACATAGGGAGACTCTGTCTCTTCGGTTCTAGTCGGTAAAGGCTGAGCAGAGACTCGGTTGGCTGTTTTCTTAAAGGAAGTGCAGCTTGGTGCCGTCCCTTTTGAGAGGGGCACAGTGCAGGCCCACCGATGGAAATCCAAGTGTAGGTTTTGGACCAGGACTGGAAAACGCTTCCACAGGGAGAAATCGTCCTGTGTGGAATACGCTGGCAGGAGAGGCTAATGGCTTTACAGCGTCCGCCCCTCTCTCTCTGGGGGAAGGGGGGGGGCATGTGTGGGCGTGGGGGCTGCGGAGAGGAGTAGAGGGGGTCTGCGACTGTGAGAAACAGGAAGTGTCCTGCGGAGAACTGTGGGAACAGCACAGGGAGGGCGAGGGGGAGAGATAGAGAGCGCCAGCAAAAGAGGAGCAACTTGGGCTCTCACATACTGCGCGGCTTTTTGGGGATTTCTAAATGCTAATTGCGGGACTTATATCTTGAGAGCTGGATTAATTGAATTTCAGCAGTAGTTCAAGTCAGGGTTTATGCAGCACTGCGTGCGCTATTACAAGCGTTAATTTATTTCTCCTAGCAGTGTTGTAGGTGCGCTGCTGAAACCAGCAGTAATTACCTTTCAGATCAGTGGCTGAAGGTGAATACGTCATGGGTAACAGACTGAATTCCAAGGTGTTTTCAGTTTGCATTTCGAGCGTTATCGCAAAGTTTCTGTGAAATGACATCGTTTCAGTAGATTAAAGAATTGAGCATTGCTGACAAGAAAAGCTCCAGCGATCAGAGATAAGCATGTACAGAAACTGTCGGTGAATAATCTGCTGCATTAAGCTCCCCAGGGTGCCGAAAGGTCACAGGGATTTGCGATACAGCACTGTGGGCCTGCCGAGCTGAGGTCTTTCAAGTTGCAGTGACATCACCTCGTCACCTCAGCAGTTCCGACTTTCCTGCCTTCTGTTGGCACTGTGGCCAATCTTGCTTTAAGTACTATAAACCACACCCTGACTGTGCCTGTCGAGCTCCAGATGAGTTTGAGCAGCGCTACCACTGGCGCATGCAACAGTACAGATACAGACAGTACAAGGCGGTGTGGTGGCTCTGTGGCTGGGAGGTTGCCGGTTTGAATCCCGCGGCCGGCAGAGGAATCCCACTCTGTGGGGCCCCTGAACAAGGCTCTTAACCCCCACTGCTCCAGGGGTGCTGTATAAATGGCCGACCTGCGCTCTGACCCCAAGCTTCTCTCCCTGTCTGTGTGTCTCATGGAGAGCGAACTGGGGTATGTGCAAAGACAAAAGAGTTATCTTATTTTATAATAGTGATGTGGGTGATCACCCTGTGGCGTGCCGTGGTGTCGCAGTCTTGTGGATGTGCGCTGTCTCTCTCCTGTAGTCCTTGACAGACTGATCCAGATGTGCGCGTGGGGCCTGAGATTGTGACTGACCCTGCTTTCCTCGTCACCAGGTAAGCCTGCTGTTGGCACGCCGGATTGCACCCTTTCTTCTTTCCTCTCTCTGCTCAGTGGGCCGCAGGGGCGCCGGCTGAGCCCCTGTGCTTCGGATGGCCCGGCCAGCTGGGGTTGCAGAGAATCGAGCACAGTGTTTGCTGCAGGAAAAGAAAGCAGCAAAACCACAGTCGAGGATTGTTTTTGTGCCGGTCTTGCGCTGGCTTGTGGGAGGACAGGGGCAGAGCCACGGACAGTAGGAAGGTTGTGTCGCACACAGACACACCGGACTGAAGCTGTGGGCTAGAAGCAGTGCTCTGCGCCCGCACACTCTCTCACACATTAACATCCAGCAAAGCTCTGCAGCCATTCGAGCACCAGCAGTGGGAAACACTCTGCACTGTTCTTAATTATTGAACAGCTGTAATAACAGTATTAAACCCCAAATCATTTTAACAGTTAAGTCTCTGACTTACTGTTCTAGCTAAATAGTGGAATGCCTGTCCTTGTTTTTTATGACCTGTATATGTTTTCAATATGGTCCAGTTGATGTACATACCCATGTGTAAACAGCAGAACCGTAGTCCCAGACCGTTACAGATGTGAGGATTGTTTTAAGGTTCAACTCGGGTCTCGTATACATCTATAGACAAAGGCCAAGTGGAATAATTATTTAATACAGCTCCTCTGTTAACTCGGAGGTTCCCTGAGGAGGTCTGAGGACCCCTGGGGTGTTAAATGGGGTGATAAATGGGTTCAGGTTACTTTCTTGGCAGGACACGTGACACTGTTGCTGAAGGGGCTACTTTAAAAGTGAAGAAAAGAAAAAGCGAAAAGAGATCTGACTGATAAGTCTTAATTGTCTAATTAAATTGTCTTAATTGCAGTCCTTTATGGAAAGTGAAACGGAGGAGTTAGGAGTGAGCCCGGACAGCTCTGGGTGTTCCAGCTGTGCTCTTATCTCGCACCTGGGCTGTGGAAGGCCTCCCCGTGGCTCCGCAGTCTCTCCTTTCAGAGCACGATCCCCCATATTCATACTTTCCCCCAGTGTTTTTATACCCGTCCTTGTAGCGGACAGAGCAGCTCTCTCTACCTCCCCCTGCTGGCGGAGACAGCGCACAGCAGGTCTTTACTGGCAGGCTGTACACCATCAGTCTTTTGCTCCAAGATTGAGTCCCTCTCCCTTTCCTGAAAGTGTAATGGTCCCTTGAGTATTTATGATCCCGACATTTACTGCAGTCCCAAAGAAAACCAGAATAACTTAGAATAATTAAAGGGTTTATATTGTCAATGTCAATGTGATCAGGTAATAATAATAATTGCTTACACTTATATAGGGCTTTTCTGGACACTCCACTCAAAGCACTTTTACAGGTAATGGGGACTCCCCTCCACCACCACCAATGTGCAGCATCCACCTGGATGAGGATTGGCTCTCGGTTAAGCTTGTTCTGAGGAAGAGCCTCCAAAGAAATCTAACAGGAGCCTATACCTGCAGTGCACCAGAAGAATGTCAGCATTAATTATATAATAATACTTTGATTTTAAACGGGAGGAATCCTTGTGCTGTCAGGCGTTGGTGTTTTTTTAAAAAAAGCTTTTTCACAGTTAATGCTAACTTCTGATTTCTGCATTGGTTTTCATAAGATTTGAATAGCAAAACAGAAGGCCGTTTTAGTCAATTTCTGTGGTTTTCATATATTAACACTTTCCAAGAAAGAAATGTGGTTTTGTTCAACATAATGAAATCTGTCAACACAATTTTGGCTGTTAAATGAGTAATATGGCACAGGATCTGTGAGAGAAGCGTGTGTTCTGGTGACCTAAAAACAGCCGCAGTGCTTTCAGTCGAAGACCGATGAGATGGCTTATCGAAATTAGGACGTTGTCTGTCTTTGCTTTATATTCCTTTGGTCTTCTGGTCTTTGAGGAGATCCCGTGGTACAGTCAACTGAAAGAAGGGTTTACAATTCTGACCTTATCTTAACGTTGAGTGACCAACGCAAGTCATAAACCACAGAGATTCTTCTGCTCGGATAAAGTGCTTGACCGCTGTTAGCCAGTGCGAGAGTCAGACCATTTTCTTTCATGCGGCTACCCAGGTAGAAGAGGATGTGGGGCTCGCTGGCATGGGGGAATTGCATAAGAATGGGTTACTCAGTTGTATTGCAGTCTTACAGTGAAACAAATTGCACAGTTCTCCGGTCAATTTCAGATCCGTTTGCATGAGGACTTGGCAGGAAGTTTGAGAGGTTTTTGACAGTGCATTAAAATGTTCCTGTGCGTTTTCTGCCCCCGGTGCAACAAAACAACTTTGTATAGACAGGCAATTTTTTATCGGTACTGCAGCCGAGAGCATCCAGCTATTTTGTACTTTAATGACGTTCATGATCAGTTGTGAGAAAATCAGATTCATAAATCCTTAGTAGTGAAACGTTGGATAACTTTTTGATTGGCTCCAGATATTTCTTGCTAAAAATCAAGATTTCCCAGATCGCAGCCATGATGTAAAGCCCAGTGTTCAGGGAGTGTTTAACACTAAACTAAGCACATAACAAAGGCTGTGGGGCAAATTAACATTTCATTTATGTTTCCCTTAGAGCACAGAAGTCTTGTGTTGGAAGAGTATATTAGAATTGCAGGCTAGTGTATCTACAGCGCCTTCCTGGGTTTATACTGTATTACCCCATCTCATGTTGTTCGTGTTTGTTTGTCATCTCTAATCAATAGCTCCTCTACAAGAAATGTTTTACAGCTGGATGTTTACTTCCTTACCTTATATGTATGAAATAGCTTTTAAAATTGCTTTGGATCTAAGTTGGTCTAAAACAGGGAACTCCAGACCTGGTGCTGGAGAGCCCCAATCCAGCAGGGAGTGTGGGTCACCTTTGACTCACCAGTCTCTAATTTCATGGAACACTTCCATTGTGCTTAAATAGGGTATTCCTCAAGCGATTTAGAGACTGACTTACTTGACAATTGCGTACTAAAATCTAAGTAATCTTCAGTCCTCAAGGACCTTAGGTCTCTTATTTGAACAGCTTTTAAAGATTTGCCAACCTTTTAAAAACGTGCGCCCTGTAAGAGTAACATGATTGGGCCTTCACGAGCGATGATGGAGGCTTCTGGTATATCAGAGGGTGAATGAGATGTGCAGACGGCTAGCCATAATGTGTCCAACAGGTGGTACTGCCTTTTGTGGTGGGCCTTCTTGGATGGGCTCGGCTGGCCCGGGTTTGACATGATGAGTAGAACTGGGCTCTCAGTGAAGTTCTGTGCCAGCACAGGGACACCACTGAGTAAACCTGCTCTGCACTGAACTGCTCTCTCGCAGTGTTGTTCCCTGTCTCAGTGGTTTTGTCTGTCTCTCCACTTTGAGCGTGTGGCTGCATCTGTGTCGGCGTCTCTTCCTCGGAGTGTGTGTGTGACTGAGTTCGTAGGTGTGACTCGGTGCCTGTGTTCCTGTACAGAGAGGTGAAGAGGTCAGCCTGAGCCCTGCGGTCTGAGCCCCCCCACCTCCCACACTTCCTGTGTCGTCTGCCCACAGGGCACAAGCTGTCACGCACTTCAGAAACCTGCCTGGCGCTTCTCTCCCAGGCTGGGCAGTGCGCCTTGAGTTCGTGTAACTTTCCGATAACCGACGGCCAAGTCTTGCCACGTGTAGAAAATTTTATTTTCGGTGTCTTTTGTTCATTTGCTCTTTGGTATAATTTTGTGCTGCACGATAATTTCATTTTCAGCCGATAAGTCATTTCCGCAAAATAAAAAAAAAAGTGAGATTTGGGTTGCTTTCAAGTGGGTGGTTTGTTACATATGTTCGTCATTTTACACGAAAAGTGCCATATAGATGCAGAACTTTTTCGCAGATTCCTTTGCAATATTTTCTCCTAAAGCTGCGTGTGATTATAAACAGCACTGTCCGTTTATCCTTGGAGGTTAGTACGGTGATCTAAAACGTCTAAAACTGTGCCAATGTGAGTGTATGTCCAGACAGTAATTTTCACAGCTGTTTTTCCAGCTTGAATCTTGTTTTGTGTAAGTCCTGGAGCAGTTTATTTTAGCAAGCTGCGTGAACGTCAGTTGTTGTAAATAGCACCGTCATGTACCCCTCTTCAGAGTCCTGGTAACGTGGAGCTGTGCTGTTTTCTTTAACTGTGGTTTCTTCTCAGGAGAACAATAAAGCCACAAAGAAGAAAACAAAGGAATTGCACTGGCCTTTCAATTTGTCATTATAGGACTCAGTTCAAAGAATTCTTAAATTACTAGCATTTATGCGAAGGGAGCAGTATTTTTAGAACAAGCTAAACATCTCTTAGCCAACTGACGTGTTCCATGCTGGCCGGAGTGAGGGCTCCACCTGCTGGCTGACATGTGCAGTGCCAGATGAGACATGGCAGGACGAACAGCTCAGCCTGACTGTCAGATCAGGACTTCCCACGTGTCTTCTGTTTTATCTTTCAGCCACATTCCTGCTAAATCCTTCATTAAGGTTTTTATTTCCTTAGATCCATTATCGGGGGTGTGAGAAGTTGAAGATTTAAATTTCAAATTTGTTGTCATGACCCAGAGCCACATCGACAGTAGTTACTTAAATGTTGTAATGAGAAATAAGATGAAGCTTTTTCTGAAGTCTTTGTGTCTGAGTAGTGGAGGGGAGCTGGACTTATCTGGGGAAACTGTGACCCCCAGCCTGCCAGGTGCCAGCTCCTGTGCAGTGATGTCAGTGAGGGACAAGCTAAGCTCATAAAACACATCGGTGCTGGGCTGATCATCAGATGCATGATCACGTGCAAAAGTAGTTCATTAACAGATTTCCATTTTAAAGGTTTCTTATCTTAAAAGTAAAAATTGAGACCAAACTTTAGTTGTCTGAGCTCGTCAAGAGCTAAAAAGGTAGAGCTGAGATTCAGGTGACTGCAGCAAGAGTCACAAGTCCTTCTGGTCTGGGCGGTTCTGTGGCTGTGCCTTACACATGCATGCGGATGAGGAGAGAGCAGGGCTCAGAGTCTGTGATGTGCTTTTGACCAGTGCCTCACAGCTCCGTTCGCAGCAGGAAGCGGCCAAAACGATATCGGAGACTACTGCCGGAGGATGAAATGTGAAATTCATGATCTGCTGTGTGAGGTGTGTAACTTGTCGGTGTCGGTGTCCAGATAAAGTCAAATGAACTAGGCTGTTAGGCAAGCCTCATGAAAGCTTTGATACGGTGTGGGTACATCGTCCCAATGCCTGGCTTTGAAGAATGAAAGGTCAGCCTCCTAAACCAAATACTGTCCTACCATCAGAAATATGTCAATAAATGTGGATGTCTGGAGGTTATGCTGCACCAATACAGTTCAGAATTGGGATTACTGGAGATCTGTGACCGGTAGCATATGGATTACCTGTATTCTGCTAGCATACTTTAGTATACTTTAGTGTTGCCATGTTGTGTTTGGATCTTGTATCCAAGTGTTTTCACTTAGTTTTTGGGTGTCATTCATATCAAGCTGTACAAGGGCATGAATTGTTAAATCTCATTGTCATTAGTTCTTTGGCAGTTCCACATACAAGGTGGTTGTATTAACACACAATAAGCCTTTAGAAAGCTCACCTGAGGTAAGGTTTTGTGCGCATTCCGTTTTTTACATTGAAATTGAATTTCAGTGTATATATAGATACCAATGTGAAGTTAAGGTGGAAAAAATTTTAAAACCAAAAAAAAAATGCCTGACACATTGTGGCGTGATGGGTTTCTCACAGTCTCTGGGGCAAAGGCGTGTTGTTTAAAGTACTGCATGCGTGTTCACTAACATGCCTGGCCCGTGTACTTTAGGAGCGTGGAGGACTTTGTGACGTGGGTGGACTCCTCCAAGATCAGACAGCACGTCATGAACTACAATGAAGAGGTGGGTCTCGCACAGACACTGGCAGGGTTCAACAGACACTGGAAGCCTGAAGAGGCAGGACAGGGCCCCTGCTTTGATCTTGAATGTCAAGAGCCTATTGATTTGTCAGGCATTTGTTAAAGAATCCCACTGAATCACATGAAATACCACATGACTCTCTGTTTTGTTCCAGACATTGACAACCTTTGTGTAGAGAAATGCTTCCCAGTACTAGTACTAAATGCTTTGGGTTGGTGATGTCAGTACCAGCTTGTATGAAGCCCACTGTTACAGCCTCTACTGAAAATAAGGACATTCACTTCCTTTATCGTATGTATGACATTCCTTAGAGACTGGGACTTATCCTGGTTGCTCTCTTTTGATCTCTTCCCAGGATAGCATGTGGTGTGCTAATCAAATATGAATGCAGTATACTATTCATTATACTAAACGAAGTGTATACATTTTATTTCTCTTCTGCTAATTGAGAACGTTTGTGAGCTGTGACAGTCTGATCGCTCATGCAGATTAGGATAAGCGAAAGCGATCCCGAGCACACCTACCTTTCCCTTTACACTGCACTGACACATTGACCTCTGGATGAACCACCTGCTACCTCACTGCAGTTTGTAGTGCGTCTCTGTTTCAGTAATCAGTGTTTTCTGTGCGTTAGTGAGTTCTCAATGCGTGTGTCCTTCCCCTTGGGTTCTGCACCTGCAGCTTTCACTGAGAACTAGTCTTGTACAGCAAGAGGAACTTTTTTGAACTTAATGTCTTGACATTTCCAAAGACCGAAAGATGCCGAGAAATTGTCCAGGATACACAGGTGTTAAATCAAGGGATTGCCACTAGATCTCCTCAGTCTCCTTACCACTGCAGTGTTAACAATGTACTTCTCTCTTCCCGTTCGTCTCTTTCTTTCAGAGAGATGATTTTGACCTGGTGGTGTAGTGGAGACGAGCAGGTCCGGACCACTCCCAAGATCTACATTGCATTGCCCTGGGATGAGTAGGACTGAAAGGCAAGAGTCCAACCTAGTGGTGCTTCACCAACACCAACCAGCAGAGGGTGGGAGAGATCTGCTTGCTTTATGTTGTGACGCCAGGATTTCTTGGCGATGACGGAGACCCACTGTCTTTCCTGGTTTTCATTCTAGCTCGGAGCTCATAGTTAGTCAGACCATTTATTAAATGAAGTTGCTGAATTAGACCTCAGTGATGTGTTAGTCCTGACACACACGGGATTCACTCACTTAGGGGTTTAATTATAGAGATCATCAGGAATGAACATCAGAAGACTGTGGGACTCCAGGACCAAGGTGAAGTTCCCCTGGTATGTACATACTGAACATAACTTAGTTCCAAAGACACCATCAAAGCTTTCCAAGCTTTTCCCCCAACGCGATGGCTTTTGACTGTAATGCAGTATGTCATATACCTGTTAAGCAGTGGTACTGTTGCATTGCAGGAGGTGCTGTTCTGTGACACTGAATTTGGTCCTTTTCGTTTTGTGCATGTTGCGGTTTTGCACAGCAGACTGTTCCCTTGTAAAGTACCTGGCTTGGTGGCAGTTTTATTAAGTTTGCATCTGCATTTGAGTTGAGGAATTCCTGTACTAATTCTAACCCAGAAGTAACTTCATTCATAGATTCTCTGGCTGAAAAACATGCAGCCCCAATGCCTTTTTTTTTAACTTGTTACAACATGAAACATCACAGTCACCAAGAGAAATGCACACCTGTATTTCTGTAGTACACATTCCTGCCCTGACTCTTTCCCTGGACCTCTGTACTGCTTGCTGACCTGGCCATGATCATGATCAGTGAACCCAGTAAGGAGCTTCTGACAAAGTGTATATTGCAAGTAATTAAGTAGATCAGCATCCCAATAATATAAATGTTGTTCATTAACTGTCCTTTTCAATAAACGTATATGAGCTTTTTAATTGTAATTCATTATGCATTTCACATTCTACCATGTGAGAGCAGGTGTAAGAGAGGATTGCACCAATATCCAACAGCCAGTAGTTTGCTCTGGGGAGAGGGGCGATTTTTCTCCCAGCCAGGAGAGGTGCTCGCTCAGGGCCTGGTCCCGCTCTGGCACCCTCTGGTTCCGGCCCAGTGCCTGGGAGCTTGGCTAGCAGCTGGCAGCCCTGAGCTGGAGGGGAAGTGAAAAAGTGCCGCGGGTCTGATCACCTGCCGGAGCAAGAGAAGCACTTCGATCGGCCGCCTCAAGGGGACTGCTGCTGGCAGCAGGCTCGGGCCTGCGGAGTGAACCGGGAGAGGGGAGCTACAGCCACCCGACCTCTTCATTACTGTACCTCTTCTTCTGTAAGTGTCTGGCCCGGTATCCATCCATTCTGTGAGTGCTTTATCCAGTGCAGGGGCATGGGGGACAGAGCCTTTCCTGGCAAGGCAGGGTATATCCTGGATGGCGTGCCAGTCCATTTGCAGGGCAGCCACGCGGACAAGCGCACACACTCCCGGAAGCCAGTTAACCTACCTTTATGTCTTTGGACTGTGGGAGGAAACTCGTGTGAACATGGTGAGAATGTAAGAACTCCACCCATATAGCAACCCATTCTGGAATTGAGCCCGACTCCAGCACCGTACCACTGGGCAACCCGCAGGTTCACACATCTGTACTTATGGAAGTATGGAAGTACTCACATAGCCTATGTGCCAGGAAAACCAGGAGTCCCCCGGTCAGCCCTGAATAAAAGAGGGATGCTGACAGGCATTGGGGTAACATTGCACCTGTGGTGCCCCACTCCCTGCCTGGAAATGGTTTGTTCAGTGATTTAACAATAATGTTAATCAATAAAATGGAAACGTTTTCATCCGATGAAATAGTTTGAGTCAGACTTGCCAGCTTTCGTGCTGTAGGTGGATACGCGGGTGATGAGGTAGGAAAGACATCCATCGTAGAACACCCCCGGACCCCCAACGGTATTGTCTCCATTGAAATGTACCAGCTGCCAGCATAGCACACATACACCTGGTGTGATGGCAACAGCAAAGTAAATACAGTAGGTCAAAGCACATCCATCCAGGGGTCAGATGAGACCAGACTGCATGATAAAGATCACACGCCCTTCAAGAGAACTTCGAGAGCCAATTTGCTTCCTGGAGCCTGGTTTCAATGTCACTTCATCTACATCTGTAGCCGGTTGTCAGTCTAACAAACCTGAAAAAAAAAGGGGCTGAGAAAAGCTGATAGAGAGAGGAGAGTTCTTACTTCATGTGGGTTTGTACAACATCCAAACAAGGCGGTATACATCCAGAAAACAAAAGAGCAAAAAAAAAAAGGTTGAAAAAAGGCAATCTGCATGTCTGTCACATACTCGTTTCGACTGCTCTGAATGTTTTTTGTAGCTTTCATAGTGAAAGGAAAAGTGAAAGATGCCTATTTGCAAACTAAGATTTTTGGTTGTTTTTTAGCATTTTTCTGTCCAGCAGTGGAATTATTGCCTAGCATTTTGTGTTTTTTATTCCAAGTCATTTAGACTTAGTCCAATTAACAGTTTAAGTGGGTCCAAGTTAATTTATCGGCAGCAGTATCTTTAATATTGTGAGTAACCGGGTGTAAAAAGACCTTGGGAAAACCCCTACATTGTTCAGAAAAGAATTAGGCACTTTGGTTGCTTTGGAGTGGTGCAGGGGTTAGCATTGTTGCCTCACAGGACAGAGACCCTTGGTTGAATTCCTAGGGTGCTATCTGTATGGAGTTTCTATGTTCTCCTTGTGTAAGTGTGTGTTTTTACCAAGTCCTCTGATTTCCACCCACAGTCCAAAGACATATTGGCATGTTAATTGGCTTCTGGGAAAATTGGCCTTAAGCGTGAATGCATATGTCTGTCTGCCCTGCAAGGGATTGGCATCCCATCCAGAGCGCATCCCACCTTGTGCCCACTGCTTGCTGGGATAGGCTCTGGCTCCCATGTGAGCCTGAATTAGCTGAAGGGGTTAGAAAATGGAGAGCTTTGCTGACAGTGAAAAGAGAAGACTACATGGTTTGAAGCAGCAATTCGGGAGCAAATGTCTAGCGCCCCACGTGCATGGCTGAGCTACTGAAAGACACAGCAAGACCTCAGCAGGTGAAAATCTCTTTATTCCCCCTCAACACAGTGTAGGTCTGGCCCTGGTGAGGGAGACCGATTCAGCCTGGCATTGCAGGAGACTTCATTCATAGGCTGCAGTTCTCGCAAGCAACACTTGTTATCAATCATTATTAATTCCAGTTTATGATTTTGTTAGCAATTTCATGTCTTTTCAAAATGCTTTTTTCAAAAAATAAGGTTGGTGCATGCTGCGATTCAACTGGCAACAGATTATGACCTTATATAGTTCATGAATACCACGTAAATTCCCAGCCTTGTGAGAATTACGGTACCTGCGTGGTCTACTAGGTAATTCTTATATAATTGTATTTCCCCTACCCAGACACTGAAGAAGGACGGATTTATCCCAGTCTGCCTGGGCAGCTGAATAGACCTATAAAGTCACACAGCCAAGTTGTATTTTCTATGAAGCAGGTTCTTTTCCTGGTTCAAAAACCAGATTAAATGTAAAAAAGACCAGAGAGAAGGGTGAAGCTACTGCTGTCAGACTGCAGACCCTGTGTGAAGGGAAACAAGGACAGACTCTTCCTCCATAATGGCCTCCTGCTAAAGGTGAACATCCCAGCCTCACGCTGAGTGCCCATCATCTGTGCTGCTTATGGTCATCTGCAGGAGGAACAGGCAGCGGGAAAAGAATTAAGACAGATTGAGAACAACCCCATCCTCCAATCCTCATGTGATGGGGGGATTAGGTACAGAGAAACGCAGGACAGCCCGACAGTAACCCGGAGATGGGGTGCACTGCTTCCGGTTCTGTGGATTAAAGGTGTTCTGCTCCATGACCGTCGGTGAGCTACTGCATGAACGCTGTACAGCATGGGCATCTGGGACATGAGGCGCAGGTCAGCACGGGCATTAGGAACCCCCTCCCCCCCCCCAGACACATACGCCCAACCAAGACACACTCGACACACAACCAGACAGAGGAACGGATGTTTGACGGTTAATAAAAATCAAACAGGAACCGCAATAATAATTACATACAGATTTCTACATGGAGAGCGCGTTAAAGTCTCTTGTGAACGGGGGGGGTCTGCCGCTTGCGATGTGTTCTGCGGTGGTGAGTGCAGCGCCCTCCTCCTGCGGGCTCACAGCCACCAGAAGCGCACGTAGACGATCAGCATGATGAAGAAGACGGCGCCGGCGGCCAGCTTGGCGTAGGTGGAGCGCGTGTTCAGGTACTTGGCGTCGCTGCGGTACTTCTTGGACAGGCTGGAGAGGTTGCTGGCCTTGGAGTCCAGGGCTGGAGGGGAGAAGGGGTCCGATTAGGAAGCAAACCTGCTTGTGCCTGCGTTGCGCAGAGCAATAGTGTTCCCCAGGAGCAGGCGTGGCCAGTGGAACACAGTGTCTGCATGCCAAATGAACTCGAAAACATTTTTGTTGTGGCCATTGCAAGCCTCTGTGATGCGACTGCTTTGCTTACACACAGCAGTGGCGTTGTTTCCAAAGAGTCGCAGCACAGGATGGACATTCACTGAGATTTTAACTTCTGCTTTCTTCTAAATTCTACATCGGAATCGTCATGCAAACGAAGGAATAGCGGTGATGTGCCGATGTTTTTTGTCCCTGGAAACAGTCTGGGCACAGTTGTAATTCACCCCAAGTCATCGAGCACCTCCCACTGCTTCTCAGCAGGCCAAACTGGGATCACGCTCGCGGTACTGAGCAGACTTCTGTTCTACTGAGCAGTCAGTGTCAGATGAACCCAAACTATTTGTGTGTTTGGATATATTCTATAGAATATATGTTTATATATGTAAATATTCCCTAGCTCTTGAAAATATGTATAACCACTGATCTGATAAAAAACACCCTACGTTCTCAGCTGTAATTCGCACAAGTGTCCGTGTGGTAGTGTGTATATTCGTGGAAGTGTTCATGTGGCGGTGTGTGTATATCAGTGGAAGTGTGCATCAGTGTGGATTACTGTGTGTATATCAGTGGAAGTGTGCATGTGGCGGTGTGTGCATCAGTGTGGATCAGTGTGTGTATATCAGTGGAAGTGTGCGTTTGGTAGTGTGTGTGTATCAGTAGAAGTGTCCGTGTGGCAGTCTGTGCATCAGTGTGGATCACTGCGTGTGTATCAGTGGAAGTGTGCATGTGGCAGTGTGTGTATAGTGTGGATCAGTGCGTGTTTCAGTGTGGACTGTACCTGAGAGAGCCTCGCCCCTCTGCAGCACCTCCTCAATATTGGCCACCATGATCCTCTGCACATCCTGTAGCTCCGTGTTGATGTTGCCCAGGTTCCTGCGTGCACGGCTGTCAATGTACGACTTCTTCGTCTTCTGGATATATGTGTCTGGGGGTGAGACACACACATCTCTTTTGCTGTCTGTATACAACATGCCAGTCTTTCTAACACCACGCACTCAGTTCTCACAATATGCAAGGACCACATGAGTCTCCTTAGTGCAAAACTTTTCAGGATCCATGGAATGCAGACTCCCATATACAAGTCTGGCATCGATTAGAAAAGTTCAGTTTCAGGTGAGGTGTTTCTTTTATCTTTTATTATTAGTCCCCTTATATAAGCCAGTTCATGCCTGTTCCTTGTTTTGAATAAATACACTGACACAAACATGCATCTCTCATTAAATTTGCTTTGTTCTTCATCAGTAGAAGTTATACGGCAAGATTGTCACCGGAAGAAGGCTCCACAGCTTTTCCTTTCAGCATGGAATAAACCTGTACCTGTTCCTAAGAAGCATGCAGCCCCTTCACCTGGTGTCAGGTCACATACAATGGATTTCAGCTGTAGGAGCTAGAAGCTGTCGGGAGTATCTCCATTCCTGCAGTACAGCACACAGCCTGCCTCAAGCTCTGCGGCTGCCAGTGTTAAGAACCAGCCCATCGGGGCTTTCTGAAGTGCACCTGTGGCTGTGTCCTTATCAGACTCCCTCATCACAGACAGTGGGGATTTTTTGAGAAGTTTGATCATGAAGTTTTAAAGCTGAAAACCCACATACTAGTTGTAAACTGTCACATACGCTATTTCTATTCAGGATGCTCCTTTAGAAATGAAATCAAAGATGGCTTAAGTGTTTCTGATTCACCTCTTTTCCAAAAGCCTGCAGTGAACATGGTGTGGTCAGACCTGTTTTCGAGCACCTCCCCCATGGCAGCGCTGGTCTCTCTGTGCCCCTGCCCAGCTGTGTGCCCTGGTTAGAGCCAGAACGCCCACCTGTCTCCCTGACTCACCGAATTCGATGAAGAAGTACGGCCGGGACACGGTGGGCACCTTCTTGCCATGCTGCTCATCAAACTCAGCCTGCAGGTCCTCCAGATAGGCGAACGCCAGCTTCTTGGGGAACCCAGCCTCACACAGCACCAGGTAACACACGCCCTTCTCAATCACATAGCTGCCAAACACAGATACACAGACAATTCAATTACTCCATAGTACACCTTTCTGTTGTTCTCACTGGAAAGCCATGGACCCAGCCTCTAGTGTGCAGAGAGTACTGTGTTGCACAGTGCTGTACAGGTTTACGCA